ATATTATATGCATGTGTTTTGGACCTGTCTGTAAACATACATTTTCTGATAATAAATAAAAAAATAATAATGTAAAATAAATAGGTTATTTATAGTTTCGTTTGTCACCTATCATCATTTGCAATGGGAAGGAAGTCAACCCTTATCTTCGAAATTCAACTCATTAATTTCGTTGCGGGTCTAATGACGGATTAACTTATCATCATAATCATTTCAGCCACAGGACAGGGATTAACTTATCCCCGGGACAAATTTAAACTGGTTGAATTTTTTTAATCCTCGTGACAAATTTTAACTGGTTGGATTTTTATTGGCTTTCAAACTGTACATCCTGGCTACAAAGGAATTGCAATGTTGCAGTGGTGGGAATGAAAGAAGGGAACAGTCCCGTAAATTACACTATTTTTCTAAATTTACTGGGAAAAAACCGAACCGACGAGTCATGACTGCTTGCTGAGCGAGCAAATAAATTATTAAAATTATTATTACGGAGAAAGTGCCGCAAGAAAATTCGGCCATTCTCCTAGATCATAATAATCTCAGTGTTCAATCTTCTTGATTTATTCACGTTCTTTATTTCTAAAGCCTGGTCCGTGAGCATGTAGAATCCCGTCCAATGACCCCAAGCTACCCATCCTTATCGCTCGCGCGTAATTATATTGCTGTCGCGACTGTGCGACGGGCGCCCGCAGTGAGTGTGCGAGCGCGACAGCAACATAATTACGTGCGAGCGATAAGGATGGGTAGCTTGGGGTCATTGGACGGGATTCTACGTGCTCACGGACCAGGCTTTAGATGACTCGCGCTTCACTCACCGCTGTCCATGCCCTTGCTGTTGTTGAATAGCCGCTGGTCGAACATGCCCTCGCCGCCTTGTGTATTCTTGGCCGGGAGCCCTAGAGCGATCTGCTCGGTATCTATTTGATGGGTAGTGGCGTAGCTACCGCCTTATCAATAATACATAGCCTTTGGGGCTCAGCCGGTTCCCCTGACAGTTTAACTAGGCAGAGTAGCTTGAGCCTAAGGAACGAGGGGAGCTTTCTGCAATGACCTATTTTAGATAAAAAGCCCAACAAATTTTGATACTGGACCCGTCTAAAGTACGCTATGAACGAAAAGCTCGTGTCACGCTTGACACTCATTGCTGTCCATGCACTTATTTACCGTTATCAACTAGCCCAGTGTTTTTCAACTTTTTTCATGACGCGACCCCCCTAGTATGAAAAAATATTTCGCGANCCCAACTAATCCCAACTAATATTATAAATGCGAAAGTAACTCTGTCTGTCTGTCTGTTACGCTTTCCCGCTTAAACCTCGCAACCGATTTTGATGAAATTTGGCATAGAGATAGTTTGAGTCCCGGGAAAGAACATAGGATAGTTTTTATCCCGGTTTTTGAAACAGGGACGCGCGCGATAAAGTTTTTCTGTGACAGACAAAATTCCACGCGGGCGAAGCCGCGGGCGGAAAGCTAGTTATATTATATGTATGTGTTTTGGACCTGTCTGTAAACATACATTTTCTGATAATAAATAAATAAATAATAATGTAAAATAAATAGGTTATTTATAGTTTCGTTTGTCACCTATCATCATTTGCAATGGGGGGAAGTCAACCCTTATCTTCGGAATTCTACTAATTAATTTCGTTGCGGGTCTAATGACAGATTAACTTATCATCATCATCATTTCAGCCACAGGACGGGGATTAACTTATCCCCGGGACAAATTTAAACTGGTTGGATTTTTTTAATCCTCGTGACAAATTTTAACTGGTTGGATTTTTATTGGCTTTCAAACTGTACATCCTGGTTACACAGGAATTGCAATGTTGCAGTGGTGGGAATGAAAGAAGGGATCAGTCCCGTAAATTACACTATTTTTCTAAATTTACTGGGAAAAAACCGAACCGACGAGTCACGACTGCTTGCTGAGTGAGCAAATAAATTATTAAAATTATTATTACGGAGAAAGTGCGGCAAGAAAATTCGGCCATTTTAGAGACCCTTTCCTAGATCATAATAATCTCAGTGTTCAATCTTCTTGATTAATTCATATTCTTTATTTCTAGATGACTCGCGCTTTACTCACCGCTGTCCATTCCCTTGCTGTTGTTAAATAGTCGCTGGTCGAACATGCCCTCGCCGCCTTGTGTGTTCTTGGCCGGGAGCCCTAGAGCGATCTGCTCTATGCATATTTCGCGACCCCCCGACCGTTCGTTTTTTTTCCATGCCTTTTATAATGTTACAAAGATGTTGTAGGAATCGAATATTTAAATCTATACAACATTTATGCATTTGCATAATTAGATTTCCGATGAATCTACCTTTATAACTTTACTGTTTTTGGTTACTGAGGTAGTTTTTACGACCTCTCGCGACCCCCCTATAGAGGCTTGGCGACCCCCCAGGGGGTCGCGACCCACAGGTTGAAAAACACTGAACTAGCCGCTCTTGACCGGGGCCCTAAGAGATCTGCTCGGAGGTTTCTGTCTATCTCTGGTCTGTGATAGTACGGAACCCCTATGTAAGACTCACCGCTGTCCATGCCCTTGCTGTTATTGAATAAGCGCTGGTCGAACATGCCCTCGCCACCTTGTGTGTTCTTGGCCGGGAGCCCTAGAGCAATCTGCTCGGAGATGTCACGTTCGCGATCCTTGGCCATTTTGTTTCTGGAAGGAATATAAACTTGTCGTTAGATAGGTGGAAATATTAGTTTGTTTAGTACGGCTTCAAATGGATTAGAAGAAATAAAATCATAAGTAAACGTCAAAATGCGACACAGCCAGAAGCCAGAAAACGCCGTTTTTATGTGACAGGAGGTAAACATCAGACGGATCACCTGATGGTAAGTGATTGCCTGCGCGCAACATGGTCCTT